GCCCGAAAGCTAACAAGAAGACACCTACTCTCAGCAAGACAGTTCTATACATACATACATACATACATACCTGGAACTTCCTCGGAGTGCGTTCATGTTTTTCGATCTGCGGCGTGAAAAACATCTTTAGGAGTCGGAGTTACAGCCTTATATTTGAGTCTGCGGATGTTTCTTGATGTTTCTTTAGTTCTTTTCTGATATTCCACGGGCAGTTCTACGGGCGTTTATACACAAGATTACACTAAGAGCGTTTATTGGTGAGCCAAAGGCGCTTTTTTCCCGAACATGCTCTTTAAGCGGATGTTTATTTTGGTTGCTGATGTTTATGTGGTTCACAGACCGAAATCAATGATAAAGTAGAGTATGATAAAGGTATGTTGAACCATCGACCCCCCAAAAAAATATAAACACCAACAGCAACCACGAGGTTGCAGGTATATGGCTGTCGCTACAACAAAATCCCGGCCCCAAGCAGTGAACCCAACACCTGCAGGTTCGGTCCTACTTCATTCATTCCACTGCCAGCAACTGTAGAGCTCTTGGTCCCTCTCCACACTTTTCGCAAAGCAAGGCGCTGGTACCAGGAGATGTTGCTTCGAGGCTTCCAACCCACGAGCTGCTGGGACGCACGCGTCCCCGTCCTCCGCGCACGCGCCACGCGCCACGGGACCGCCGCAAGCGGCGTCCGACCTGGCAGACCATGTCAGCCGGAGTCTTCTTTCGGATCGCGGGAGGAAGAGCGGAGTCCGCGCGAGTCTTGCGGGACGTCAACCTCAAGGTGGATGTTTGAATGGGACCGTCTTCTTGGGATCGGGAAACCATGGATGTTTGAACAGCATGGGACCTCAGACCTCAAGGGGGGTCCCGCCTGACTTGCATGTTCCTGTGCATGATTCCACGTCGCCGAACGAAATGCTGGGGCGGTCCAAAGCTCCACCGTGGTCCACTGATTTTCGATGTTCCGGCTTCCATGATTCTTTCAGGAAGTGCACTCCAAGAGACGGAGGCATCAGGCATCACCCAAACTCCCCTTCTCCCCGCGCAGCCTCCGTTGGGCTGCACGGCGCGCCTGGCCGATCGAGGTCTCACTTACTCGACGCTCATCAGTGCGGGTCGCTGGACTGGCGATGCGCTGAGCGGCTTGGCTTGGGCACGGCAGTGGCCACGGACCAGCTTGGAAGCGTACCATGCGGCTAGACTTGGAGTGGAGTTGGGAACTGGGATGACTGGAGCTAGGCTTCCTGTTTTTCAGTGTTTGTCGTGTTTTTGGCACAAGCTTGAGGAGAGAGACATGGGGTGAAACCACCACCCCTAATCCACTAACAATGCACCCTGGTCGATGCATCTGGCACGCCAGGGGAAGCAGTCCATGAAGCAGTCCTTGAGCAACCAAAGAGCATCTTTGCAGGCAAGATTCACATTCGATGTGTCACCAAGCACTGTAAAGAATTTAGTTTCACATGACATGCAAGTCATAGGAATCTTGATGAATGTAGCCTTCACATGATCCAGTCATTGACGTTTCACTTCACCGGACATGTTTGGCTCAAGATTGTGGGAAAAAAGGGGCGGCTGCTGTGTTCTTTTGGTTATCAGCCGTATCGCTTTGCGATCGGTTGTTGGCCGTCGTTGCAGCCATCGCATCTTCCTCTGGTTCACGTCGTCCGACTGAACCCGCTGGTCCGCCCCCGCCTGAAGGGGGTTATTCTGATCCGGAGCATCCCGAGTACGAGGAGCTCCACAAGCTTCTGAGGTTCCCTCGCTCTGGAAAGAGCGGCCGAGCACAGAAGAGGGCGTTCATTCGCCAGGGCGTGGCTGAGGGGCATTTTGCGTTGACACATCCGCATTTGCTGAACGGTGTTACGTCTTTTAACTTTTGCGCACAGAGTCGGGTGACGATTGTTGAGGAGGTTCTTCAAACGTACAGAGCTCGATTCGAGGAGGCGCATAGGTTGGTTAGCTGCTTCGGCACTGCCACCTAGGCCTGAGCCCGCTGTTCCGGTACCGCCTGCAGTGATTGGCCTTACGCCAAAGGCATTTGCTAAGGCACCGCCGCGGAGGCCAGAGCCAGTTCAAGTCTCGATTGTTCTGCCGGACACGGTACATTTCCTTACCTTTGAGGCAGCGGAGGGTCGCTATACTCGTTGGGAGTCACAGGAAGTGCATTTGGGAGCAGTTGCAGACATTGGCCAGGTTAAGGTCCTTTTTGTTGATCACCATCAGGTTCTTGACAGGGATCACAGCGATACTTGCAGACAGACTGGTCGCGTGGGAGTCGAGAACATTGAGGCGATTGAGAAGTTCAGACAGTTTGCATTGGATCACGAGCGTATTCCATTTGTTTTCGTTCTTTCTTTCATCGGGAGTTCGGGGCGCTATCAAGCGTGCAAGGACATTTGGAGCAACAGCGAAGGGATTCATCACTTGTTTGACGGGATCATTTGTACGTTCGAGCCGGAGGGTCCGACATGCAGGGAAGGCTGCAGTTATCTCGAGATTTGCCGAACGGTTGGGAGATCACTTGTCTTGTTGTTTGATCGACGACAGTGCTGATATCCTATCTGAGTTGGAAGCCACTTTGGCCACCGACAGGGCAACAGGGATTCACATTAAGCTTTCACGGAAGAGGAGCTTGGACGGAAGGTCAGCGTATCCATACGCCCATTGGTTGAGCGACGGCTGGACGAAGGAGGCAGTTGAGAATTTCATTGCAGCCGAGTAGACGTCGTTTGATCTTTGAAAAGGAGCGATGGAGGGATCAGTAGGAAGTGCGCATGGTTCACCGGAGAGTGAACAGATTGTCATGTTTGGGGAAGCCATTGCAACTCCTATCCAAGATACGAGTTTGTCATCCCTGACAGAAACATCTCACTCATCGATGGTTCAAAGTAATCAAGGAAACCCAACAGCAAGGACGGATGTTGAATACCAGCAACCGACCATTGGTCATATTGATGCAAGACAGATTGTGTTCGAAAGCAACCAGTCGTCTCATTTCACAGATGCCAGATCAGTCAATCTTTTGGATTTGAACCCTCTGGTAGTAGCTCAGGCTCACCAGGTCGTGTCCGAAGTGCAGGGTCAAGCCATTCAATACGCCTCTGAAGTTGAAGCCAACGCTAGGAACCAGACTGCTCAGTATGTCCAAGCAATGGAGAGCCAGTTTAGGAACCAAGCCCTTCAGCAGATCCAGGGTATTGAATCGAATGCTCAAGCCCAAATTCAGAGTCAAGTTCAATCCATTGAAAACCAAGCCAGGTCTCAAATCCAGGCGGTAGAATCCACTGCCAGGAACATGGTTCAGCAGTCTCAAGAAGAAGCCCATGAACTGGTCCGTCAAACCCAAGGTCAAGCTACCCGTTTGGTGGCATTCCAGGGTCAACCAATGCAAGAGTCGCGGGTCGCGTTGCCTTCGTTTGCATTGACGCCCATTGCCACAGGAACCAATGGTGAAGAGCTGCATTTGGCACCTTCACCAACTCAGTCCGCTTGTGCAGGAGAGATACCAAAGGCTAATCCAATGTTGCCTCCCGCTGCCTTGCTAAATGATCAGATCGGACTTCAAATCCAAAGTGACCAAAACACTGCTTTGCAAATGCAAGTGCATCAGTTGACCATTCAAAAGCAGCAATTGATTGGTGGATTGACGGCAAACCCTGTGCAATCAGGCAATCAGCCATCATCGAACCGATCAAGAGACCGCCGCAAAGTCCCCGGATCGCCGCCAGGAAGTGGTTCTTCATCCTCTTCAAGTGACTCGAAAGGAAAGGGTTCAAACAGAAACCCTGGAGGGGGCGGAGACTCACCACCAAAATCCCCAAGTGGAGATGGTTCATCAAGCGATTCGGAGGACCCCTACAAACGAGAGAAACGCCTGATGCGTATCAAACAGTATGACTATCTAAAGATTCCTGCTTTGCCTCAAGACGCAGCAAAATGCCGGAGTTTCCGAAACGCAGTGTTCAGTGGGGCTTGCAAGTTTGCCAAGAATGATGAAAGCATCGTGTTCCGTTGGATCAATCGTTGCAACATCTCGGAAGATGGAAAAGAGTTCAACAATGCAAAGGACTTTCCCATCTTGGATCGAATCCTAGGCGCCAAATTGCTAGAAGCAGCAAAGGGTACAAAATTTGCCTTGGAGTTTCAGACCCACCAAGAGAGATGTCAGACACATGGTCAACAACCGAAAGGTCGCAAGCTGTTGTGGTTGATCTTCCAAAAGTTTCGACTCGATCCTTGAACCTAGTGAGATGCCAGCTGAAACGTCGCTGAGGTCATTGTTGTTTGAAAGCCTCAAGAATCACCCCAAAATGGCACTCGCAATTGACAAGTTTCGGGAAGCAAACACTGGTAGCTACAAGCGAACCAGCCGTTGGTTGTATAGCAAGATGTGTGAAGCCATTGAGATATCCCAAATGGATTTGAACACAACATCACTGGACAAAGCTCTCACCTCAGCAGGCTTAGATCCAAAGGTTGGAGGAGCACAAGCAGAGGCAAAAGACAAGAAGAAGAAAGATGAGAAGACAAAGAAAGAGAAAGAAAAGAAGCCAGAGCAAGACACAAAGGTCAAGAAAGAGGACAAGCCCAAGACATCAAAGAAGGTTGAGGAAGACAAGAATGTTGATGCAGCGTTTGCCCAAAAAGGAAAAGGAAAAGGGAAAGATGGCAAAGGCAAGAACAAGGAGGACAAGCCACCGCTCACCAAGGAGCAGAAAGGAAAACTGCCCTGCATGTACTTCGCATACGATTCATGCACTCGCGGAAAGGATTGTGAATTCCTCCATGACAAAGGGAACTTGTACAAGGGCCCGAAACCTCGTATGAAGTCTGGTACTGGTGCTAGTTCTTCTAGTCATGCCGGAGCCGCTTCCGTAGCTGCTGCAACAGCATTCGCATCAATCCCGTCAGCCGAAGCCGCTTTGAAAGAAGCAAAGAAGGTTTGCAGAAAGGTCACTCGAAGCTCCCTGAGAGTCCCTTGTGTCCAGTTGTTGGCCAAAGCCGTGACTACGATCATGACCGCCATCACATGCTGCAATCGGATGTCCCAGATTGATCATTCAAGTGTCCCTGCATTGGCGTCACATCCATGTCAGATGGAATTCCTCTGGATTCAGGTGCAGGAAGGAATCTGTTGTCGAAAGACTCGATGCCCGATGATTGGAGAGGCTTTATCATTGACCCACCGGAGAACCTGATCTTTAGAACGGGAGGTGGGGAAAGGAAGACCACAAAAGCCATAGAACTCCAAGGGCAAGTGAGCGGTTTCAACACTTTCTACACCTTAGATTCATGTCCTCACGCATTGTCTTTGGGAATTCAAGTGAACAACCACAAACGAGGTTTTATTTGGCTGCCGGACGAATTGCCCTACATGATCAAGGCAGATCGTCTTGGTGACCTCAAGCACTTTTGCCCGGAGTCGGCAAAAATCCACATGGAAGTTCGAGAGAATGTTCCGATCATTCATGAATGGGTAGGTGCAGCACCAGCAGAGTTGGAAGCCAATCCAGGACCTGTCGCCTTTGATTCAGACACGGAACCTATTGGAGGCCCGAGTTCAGGATCGAGAGATCGACCGGCAGGAGCTCCTGTTCCGGAACCAGAACCTCGTGTTGAAGCACCATTAGATTTGCCAAAGGTTAGTGATAAAGTGTTGAAAGAGAAACCAGAAACTCTTCTTCATTTTGGTGATGAACTCATGCTGTGTGATGAACCAAAAGCGGAGCCCTTGGATGCCCCTTTAGATGAAGAAGATGAAGAGGCTAACCCTTGGACCCCATCACTCCGTGAACGCCTTGAAGAGGAAGCCAAAAGTGAAACTCATCAACTTTGTCACTTCCCCAAAAACCGTTACTGTTCGATTTGCCAGAGAGCAAAGATGACAGGTCGGGTTCATCGGTCAAGGGGGGCACCGGGTGAGGATGAAATTCCTCCGCTCCACTATGGCCACATGATGAGAGCAGATCACATTATTTTGGGGGCAGATTTAACCAAAGGTGCTGGTGCTGGTGGTGCTGCTGGTGGTCGTTTGTTTCGATGAATTCTCAGGTTGCATTGGAGCTTACTCCATGACGTCTAGAGATACTGACTCGAACATCCTGTGCCTTCAGAAGTTTGCTGGAACCAGAGCTTCCTATAGGTCTTCTTGCCTTGTGAAAACCGACTGTGCTCAAGAATTGACCAAAGCCGTTGAGCATTTGGGCTGGTTGAGTGAACCAGGGATTGAGAACGACCCATATCACAATGCAAAGTTGGAAAGCTTGATCCGAAGGATCAAAGAAGGCACACGTGCGATTCATCTCAAATCAGGTTTGCCGCACGCCTTTTGGCCGAGGAGCATAGAGTATTTTGTTGTAGCACATGCAGTCACACATCCATGTCCTGTGCATCCGAATGAGACTCCTGAGTCCAAAGCGTTGAAGGAAGGGAAGACCTGTTATGAAGTTGCTTCAGGTAATGTTTTTGATGGGTACCGGATTCCTTTTGGTGCGTTAGTTTGGTACAAACCACCCAAGCATATAGAACTTCCTGCCTTTGACCCAAGGACTTTTCCTGGGATCTTTTGTGGGTGTGCATTTGGTTTTGGATTATGAAGCTGTTCGCACCAACAAGAAAGGTTGTGAGAAACCAATCCAAGTGTATACTAGTGAGCTTGTGAAACCAGAAGAGTTCATCTTTTCTTTGGAAGAGGCTGCAAATTCACAGCTGGCATTGTTTAAAGCAGATCGGGAGTTGCTGACCATTGATCCCAGAGAGTCGTTGCCCTTTGGAGAGGATCCTCCCGAGCCAGCCAAACGTAAACGCAGACCTTATGTAACATTGGAAAGATGCATTAGGTTCGGAAAGACTGTAGGTTGCAAAGGTTGCGACAGAATTGCAGAAGGCGTGAGGCATAGTGATGAATGTCACGCAAGGATTGGCAAGCTCTTGGAGGACGAGAGACTAGCCAAAGAGTCAGATTCAAAGAAAGACAAAGAGAAATCGGAAGCCGCTGTGGACATTTCGATGCACACCTTGAAGGACAAATGTAGCCGCCAAAAGGTCAAGGAAAATCCCATTGTCCTGCCTGAAGGTCACGAGAGCAAGCTACAGGCTTCTCACATGGATTGCTGTAATGCTGAGGCACTGAATGACTATTGGGACTTTGATGAGGCCAAAGCTGCATGGAAGAGAATCCATGTCCGTCCGAGGAAGCGTTTGTTCACACCGCTTGGAAATGACTGTCCTTTCGATTCGTTCGAAGTGACAACAGAACGTCAAACTGTTTGGACTCGCAGAAACAAGACTTCACTGTTTGCAGATGATTGGCAATCCATGTCACCGAATAGGCGCATTTGTTCAAGAAGTTGGGTAGGATGCACATACTTCTTCCCGAAGGAGAAGCCCGAGAATGTAAGAGCTAGAATCATAGCCATGACATGCAATGTTGAGAAGGAACCTCTTCGAGGGCTTGATGCTGTCATGTCGATCCTCGGTTTGACTCCGGTCCCTGCAGAAGTTAAAAACATTCAGACATTGAAACCACCCCGTGAAAGGAGGATTAGGTCTGACAAAAGTCATGCGATGTTTGAATTCTGCTGCAGCAAAGACTCGAAACTAGGAGATATTAATGAATCAAGGGGGGGTTCCGCATTTTCGGTTGCATCGAGAACAAACCAACTTGGAAAATGAAGAAGACATCAAGAGCCTTTTGTCGTTGGTAGACATGTTCAAGGGGGCTGACCTTTGGGGAAGCATTCCATGTAGTTCATGGAGTCCTTGGCAGAAAATGTGTCTGCATCGATATGGTTCATCCTACGCAAAGAAGTTGAAAGCCAAGAGAAAAGCAAGCAAGAAACTCTTAGCCAATTACATAAAGGTTGCAGTTGCAGAGAGAGTTCTCCAAAACGGAGGACATGTTGCTTTCGAATGGCCCAAACATTGCGAAGGTTGGATGTTGACCGAGCTTTTGCAGTTTGTCAAGAAACATGATTGGTATGAGACATGCTGTGACGGCTGTGCCTTTGGTTTGAAAGACAGTAAAGGAGAGCCACATCTGAAGACATGGAGAGTCGTAACCTCATCAAGAAAGTTGGCAAAAGACCTTGGTGCATACCGATGCCAACACCCAAAAGACTTCAAGCACAGTCCTTTGGAGGGTTCAAGCACAGGAAAGTCAGCCTTCTACACTGAAAGGATGGCGCAAACAATCTCGAACAGCTTGTATCCTGATGGTGATTCCGTCCCAATCATGCCGACTTGTCCATTTGTTCAGTCAGAACATGTCCCGCATAAGATTCCTCTCGGTGTTCATCAATTGATTGATCGTCGGGATTGGGGAAAATATCCGGGGGCTGATCACGCTATCAAGAAAGAGTTGGATGGCCTTCTAGCAAATGAAGTTTGGGATGTTAGTAAAATCATTTCCAAAGAAGAACTGATGAAGTCGGGTGGTAAATTCAACCTAGGTCGTCTCATGACAATCCTGTCCATGAAGCACGCTGAAAGTCCAGAATTGCGAAAGTTGAAAGCCAGAATTGTGTTCCGCGGGGACCAGATAGTTGACCAAGACAACAACATCGCCATCCTGCAGGAACTCAAAGTGAATCCCTCGGGAATCACAGCCATAAACTTCAACTTGAGCTATGGTGCACTTCCAGGAAATGACAGTTCACAGTCGGACGTGGTGCGTGCATACACTCAAAGTGTCTTGCGAACAGTGGTGGGCACTTGGGTGCTACTTCCACCGAGTTAGTGCCAAAAGAGTTCGCTCACATCAAAATGCCAGTGGCGCCCTTGAAGAAGGCGCTGTACGGACACCCGGAATCGGGTTTCCACTGGGATGCAAGATTCCGTGAAGTGATGGGACTCATGGGAGGGAAAGCTGACAGAGACAACCAGTCGAATTGGACCTTTGAAAATGGTCTAGTCCTCACATTGTACGTTGATGACATCTTGCTTTCGGGGCCATCAGGTTTGCACAAAGGGTTCTGGGAAAACCTGCAAAAACACCTTGAGATAGAAGAACCGACCCCAGTGGATCGTTGTCTTGGCAGAAAGCTTTTGTTCAAACGTGAAAACGGAGTGACTGAGGTTTATTTCGACATGGTAGATTTCATCAACTCAGCATGCCAAATGTATGAAAACCTGTCAGGGATGCCATTGAAAGGCGCTGCATCTCCGTACTTGCCAGAAGGTTCCATTCCAGTGAATGAATGGGAGGAGCGCGGTGCTTTAGCAAGTGATGCTAGTAAGGTCTTGATGAAAGTCCTTTGGGCGGGCAGACTTGCCAGGCCAGACACGGTAAAGGCAATAGGGGACCTCACCCGCCGTGTCACGAAGTGGAGTCGTGCCGATGACCGCCGCTTGCACAGATTGATGAACTATCTGTACGAGACCAAGGCGTTCTGCCTGAAAGGCAAAATCGCAGATCGTCAGGAAGACCTACAACTGGTCTTGTATACCGATGCGGACCACTCAAGCGCGGTAGAGGATGCAAAGAGCACCTCTGGTGGTTTGCTGTGTCTGCAAGGACCGGAGTCTTACTGGCCACTGGCGTGGCACAGTAAGAGACAGGGTGCCACTGCACGGTCGACTACAGAGGCCGAGATCATATCACTTGCCCACGGTGTATTTGATGCCTTGCCAGTTGCCGAATTCGTTGAGGAAGTGTTCAGAAGAGAAATTGAATTGGTGTGTTTCCAGGATAACAGCGCCGTCATAACCATATGCGGCCAGGGCTACAGCCCTAAACTCCGACACCATCGTATCAACCTCTCTTCTCTATACGAGACGTTCTCGAATGGCAGTGCCAAATTGCTTTATATAAAAACGGACCATCAAAAGGCTGATCCCTTCACGAAACCGTTGCCGGTTTCCAAATGGAGTCACGCCTTGGAGCTTTTGGGCGTCGTGGATCCAAATCTCTCGAGGCACCCATCTTCCACTAAAGATGTTAATGTGTGAAGGGGGAAGAGAGACATGGGGTGAAACCACCACCCCTAATCCACTAACAATGCACCCTGGTCGATGCATCTGGCACGCCAGGGGAAGCAGTCCATGAAGCAGTCCTTGAGCAACCAAAGAGCATCTTTGCAGGCAAGATTCGCATTCGATGTGTCACCAAGCACTGTAAAGAATTTAGTTTCACATGACATGCAAGTCATAGGAATCTTGATGAATGTAGCCTTCACATGATCCAGTCATTGACGTTTCACTTCACCGGACATGTTTGGCTCAAGATTGTGGGAAAAAGGGGCGGCTGCTGTGTTCTTTTGCTTGGTACTGTACATTTTGGATATACAGTACTTGTTAATATTATTGTTATGTCCGACAGGTCATTGTGATGCCAAGATTGAACGTTGAGCCTGGAACTGTTTTGAACAATCTCAATGAATCACATGTGACTAACCATGCTCTAGCAGAAGCATTTCTCGAGCATTTCAACATATTTCAACAGGCCAATGCCCCACATGCTGGGTGCTGGCGACCCATCATGTCATGTCATGTATCGACATCAGGCACCATGGGACCTTGCAACTCGAACGACTCGAACTCGAACGCAACATCGCTGACTCGAAAACCATTGACAACCCTCGTCGTTTCTACCCGTGTACACCTGGCTTCCCCCCGTTTTCCACCACTATTTCCTTCTTACTTGTACTACGCCAAGGGCTCCTGGCCCACACCCTCAGAAGGTAGTTAGCACCCACCCCAACCATTTTCTTTTTCGGATATGGGCCGGGAGCCCTAGGGTTACATGTTGTTTTTTTATGTTTTTTTCCACTGCCCTGAACCCCTAGGCCTTCATGGACCTGGCAGCCGTGCATCAAGACCTCCACTTGGCCGTGCGTAGCTTCCACGAGCTGACACAGGCAGCGCGTGGCTGAGCGGAAGCAGCATCCACCGAGCGGGTCGGAACGGGTGGTGGGGGCCATCTGAGACGGGTTGAGGTCCGTGATTGGCCCAGTAATTCTTACAAAAGGTAACGTTGTCATGTTCACTTACCCATCCACTCCATGGGACTGGCATATATGGCTTACATTGAACCCCCTGGCACCACCTATATACATGGAGCGTTTGGGGGGGAAGCGGTGAAGCCCTCTTTGCTGTTCGATGTTTTCCTTGGCTCCTGGAGCAAATCCAAGTGGTTCGCTCACCTTCTCACGACCAAAGGAACGGAGCACCGATTCTGCCCCCGCCCGCTCACCGGGTCCGTCGATTGGTGTGTTGTTGCCTCCATGGTCCTCCGCTGCCAGGACTGCTAGGACTGCCAGGTCCGGTGCTGTTGACGGTCTGTTTTCCTGACCGCTCCAGGTGCTACATGGGATGCGACCCAGGGAGCCGGAAGGTCATGTCATTCTTTTGACCCTAGGGCTCCTGGCCCGTATCCTCAGGTTCGGTGGTTAGACCCCCCTGGCACCCACCCCAACCATTTTCTCAGGAGGTGGTTGGAGCCCTAGGGTGAGAAATCAATAGGACCTTTGAACACCCAACATACCCAACCCAACAGCCTATGAGCCTTCCATAGCCTTGCTATCCTCTGATCCAGCCTCCCTTGCCTCAGTCTCCTCGGTGTTTGGTTAAGACCTCTCCAGGTCTTCATGCCCAGCGTCACCACCTACAACACCCTGCTTTTGGCCTTCGCTCGTGGCGGTGACTTGCGCGCAGCACAGCAGTGGCTCCGGCGGATGGTTGCCCTCACTGAGGAGCCCAATGAGGTGAGAGATGACCTGCAACGGCTGTGGGGCAGCGGCTTCTTCGCATCGCCCGGAAATCATACCAAGAGAGGTTGAGAGGTCGCTTCACGGTTCGGACCCTGTATATAGTGGTACATATGGGATGGGCTTATAACTTAGGGCTGTGAAAAAGCTCTCTTGGTAACGCTTGAGAACGCTAGGTATGTTGATGCATTTAATTCTCTCCAAGGTAAGCCTTCCCAACTGCAGTTGGAGGTGTAGGCTGTTGATCACGAAGCCGTGCTGGATCCTGGCATGTCACCCTGGGTGACCTTGGAAGTCCAAGACCACTACAATTGTGGATTTGGTTTTGTAGTAGAGCCCTTAGTAAAACAATGGTGGTGTGGCCAAAAGCTTTTAAGTTTCTTGTTGGTTGGAAGGAAACCTGGGGGATAAATACAGTACTATATACAATGACCTTGCATTCGACCGGTCGCGCCAGGGCCAGGAATGGATGGTTTGGACGGTTGGAGGTCGCCTCTACCAACTTAGGGGTTTTCAGGTTCCGTCTTCCAGGGTGTGGCTGGGTCTTTGCCCAACAGCCATCGTTGAAACTGGATGATGTTGCACGACAACACTCACTAACACCACGTCAACTATTATAGAAACGATAGAAACATGTCACTTTAGACTAGATGGAGTCATCATGTTGTGCCCAATTCGGGACTACTGGGAATCCCTCAGCAACTTCATTGTTATTCATTCCCACAGTGTAAAGTTAGCGTAAGACCGTGTGGACTTGAAGATCCTTCTCCAGCCAGTGGTTTCAGGGGCATCACTGCATCACCCGACCACCATGTCAGAGGAAACCCCAACTTGTGAAGGCTTGATTAAAGATCACTGATTGCCATTGGCCAGGAACCTGTCGCAGAGCATCCCAAAATATGATCAATCATGATCAATCCGCCCTGTCAACGCTGACGCTTACGCGAGCGACGAGTGCCTGCACATCGGCGATCCGTCGCGCGATCCGTCGGGCCATGAGAATTTTGGCACTGCAGCCAAGTGGGGAAGTCGTGGCCGTGGAAGTCACCCCAGAGATCACAGGCCAGGAGCTTAAGCAGCAGATTAAACAGCGGCAGCCTTGGGACGAGCTTACTTGCAAAACTACAGGTGTTGAGATAATTCTTGAAAACAACCAGCTGCTGGCCAACCATGAACAGGTACTGGGCGCAGGAGTTTCTGGAGATAGTGTGGTGAGTGTTGTTTTCAAGCCAAACCTTGTGGTATGTTCCAACAAACATGCATTGGGGTTTGGCGATGCTATTGAAGATTTGGAGCTATTGCATGCGGTGGAGATCCCAAGTGATGAGACTCGAATTCTTGAAGGAGCCTTTGCGGAATGCGACACATTAGCCATATTGTTAATCCCTGACTCAGTGACACACATTGAGGATGAAGCCTTTATGTCTTGCAGCTCTTTGGTGAGCTTGACCATCCCAGACTCAGTGACACACATTGGGAAATTTGCTTTTGCATTGTGCAAGTCTTTAGCGACCTTGACCATCCCAAACTCAGTGACACACATTGAGCAAGGAGCCTTTAAAGATTGCAGCTCTTTAGTGAGCTTGACCATCCCAGACACAGTGACCCACATCGGCATTTCTGCCTTTGAAGGTTGCACTTCTTTGATGAACTTGACTATGCCGAGCTCAGTGACAGAGATTCAGTTTGGTGCCTTTCGGTATTGCACCTCTTTGGCGAGCTTGACTATCCCAGACTCCGTGACCAGCATTGGCGGGGCTGCCTTTTTGGATTGCAGTTCTTTGGCCGACTTGACGATCCCAGACTCAGTGACCGAGATTGGACTTCATGCGTTTCAGGGATGCACCTCCTTGGTGAGCCTGACTATCCCAGTTTCGGTGACACAGATTGGGCCTGGTGCCTTTTCAGGTTGCAGCTCTTTGACTTGTTTGACCTTTCCGGACACAGTTGTTGACATTGAGTTGGGTGCCCTTGAGAAGTGCACCTCATTGGTGAGTTTTACTGTCCCAGATTCGGTGATGCATATTCGGAATGCTGCCTTTGCAGAATGCGCTTCATTGGCGAACTTGACCATCCCAAACTCAGTGAGAGACATTGGCAATTCTGCCTTTGAGGGATGCAGTTCTTTAGTGAGCTTGACCATCCCAAGCTCAGTGACCCACATTGGGAAATATGCCTTCAAAGGCTGCACCTCTTTGAAGAACTTGACCATCCCAGACTCCGTGGGCATTGCGGTCGATGACGATGACTTTGATATACTTTGATCATTTTTTCGCAGATTGACAGGATGAAGCCGAACTGCAGCTTGCGGTTGATGCACTTAGATCCGAACACTGTGGCCCAGTCTGTGGCCGGCCTTTTGGTTGTGGGCTGATGTGGGCCGCACCCGAATCGTAGCAACACGTCTTCCTGTGACATGCTGGCAGTCGGGAGTTGGACGGTGCTATACGGTGGCAAACAGCTATGCTGAACAGTGTCGTTATCTATGGATGCTTAAAAATGTTGGACAGCAAGCGTTTGATTGCTTAACATCTGAACCTCAGCATTAGTCCAGTTGGTTAGGACCAATTTGACTCACTAAGCCGGAAAATCCCCGGAAAGCTCCTTATACAGACCACTTGTTTTCCTCCTCGGGTTATTTTCCATGCATGTGAAAAGCGGTCATCCCACCATCGCAGGTGACCTACCGCATCCTCATACAGTGCTGTGCCCAAGCGGGGGACCTGCTCAGCGCTGCGGGCTATTTGGAAGAGATGCTTGGCTTCGGCCGTTGACCTCCCTCGCAAGGTGGGAGGCAGTGGTCACCCGAAAGATTCGATGAATTTGGTTGGATTTATATATTATACCCCGACCCTGAAAACCACTGGTTTGTGGAGGAAAACAGCCTTTCCGGGTCCCATTCTCAGGGTCCATGTTAGTTTTTGGGAGTGTATCTATAGTGGGTTTTGCTCAGCAAGCATTGTTTTACGATTCTACGATTTTCAACTATTACAACGACCAGGTCAAGCTTTCTTGTTTGAACGGACGGCCAACGGACTCAGCCAGAGACTCGTGGGACATGTCTCAGCTAAGAGACCCGGAACGACCCGGACACTTGGAACGGCTGGTTGACTGAGGGGAGACCTGCTGGTCAACAAGCAATCCCAGACACTCCATGGGACTGCCATATATGCCTACATTGACCCCCCAAAACCATCCCAACTGATCGACAGTCCTATGGCTGTCCCATTAGTCGTGTCTGGGAATAGGTCTATCCTTAAGCATCATTGGACTCTGAAAAAGAAATGGGAGGATCGTTTGGATTCCTTTGACTCCTGAGCCCCGGGAGAGGGACCGTGCGTCTGACGGGTCGCAGCGTCGCAGCGCGGGTTTTCCCGGTCCACGCTTGGACCCATGGATGCGTGACAGCAGGGTTGCATTGGTGGGGTGAGTGCATGTCTTGCAATGCATTTGCCGAGTTGGGTTGATCTAGATTGGATCGGATCCAGGAGTGGTGAATGAACACCCCTTCGAAAGACCTCTGAGGGATTCTTGATTTCTAAGGGGCTATCAATCGAAGCCCCTAGTGGTGTCCTGGGATTTGATTGGATCCATAGGATAAAAATACGGGTGGGGTGAGTGCATTCCGACCACGGATTCTTCTGGATGTCAGGTGGACACTCGAAGTGTTCCGATCGGATCTGGAGGGTACAACGGGATGGGTCAGATGTGCTTGCAGGCATTTTGCTGAGTGTGGCTGACCTTTTCGCACTCCCCCCCCCCCCCCCCTTAAGGGGTAAGAATGTGTAGGAATTGTGATCCATTACATGAAGAAGGTGATCCTGGGATCTAAACATCTCCCACATCTCAATCTCCTTGGAACCTGCGGATACACTGCGGATACCTCCTCGGCCTGCAACTTCGGCACAGCCCCTGAGGATGGAGGCCCAGCACCTCACGGTGGACGTCACCACACGGAATATCCTCGCGAATGCCGCAGCAGAAGCTGGCGACGCAGCTTTTGCCAAAGAGTTTTGGCAGCAACTGATGACGAGGTACAGGATGGTACAGGTAGAAACAGGTGGAGTTCATTGGACTTCCAGGGTCCAAGATGACCTTGAGTCACAGCAAAGTTATCAATTCTGACGGTTGTGATTGGTTTTGTGGACAGGGGCCCTTCTTTGTGTGGGCTTTGGAAGAGGGGAAGAACAATCCAGCTGATGCAGGGTGCGTGGCAGCCACAATTGCCCATATATATATATATATATCTGTGTGTGTGTGTGTTTTTGTCCGGTTGCGTGGGCGGTGCTCAAGAAACTGGTCCTGTTCTTTTTGGATCGAAAGTCCTTTTGACTCAAAAAAAAGGGTTCTTCTCTCTCCCATCCTGGGCCTTTGCTCTTCCAACCTCCACACTACCGACACCCATGGCCGCGTTTGCCACATACCGCCCATCACCGACGACGGCCACAGGAGTGGCTCCAATCGTTGAGGCCACCGCGATGCCGGCGACCGGATGCCTCGGACGTTTGCGACCCGATTCCTTGGGGAATCACATCCCGACCCCATGAAGCCGAAGCTTGGACTCTTCTGATCGACCTCGAACCCTTCCTCCCGGTTCCTCCCTCCTCCGTTTCCTGCTTCCACAACTCCGGTCTGATTCGCGGCGTGCTTAGGGTTTCGTTGTGGTTGGTGTGGATAGTTCTGCCGCACCAGAAAGACCCCTCAAACGCACCACCCCTGGCCGTTTCTCGGCATATATGGCAATCCCATTAGTCGTGTTTGGGCATGGAACTGGATGATTTGGATGGCTGTTGGGAAAGACGACTTGCTTCTACAAACTAGGACCTGGCAAGTCACTTCACGTCACTTCCATGGACCGTGAGTCGGAGTGTTGTGTGGAGGTTCTGGCAATTTCTGAAATATATGCATACACTTAGTCAGGAAGCCACCCCAATGTAGTTACTAATTATATAGTTATACATGGAGTGTCGTTCTCCAAGCAGAGCCGAAACTCCGGATCGCTGTCGCTGTCTTTGGCAATCTCCACATGTCAAGCAGTCAACGTCAAGCTTGCCAACGAGCCACCCCTTCCAAGTGTTCTTGACGTAAATGAACGCTCTTGACATTCTGTGCAATTAGATTGGCATTGACTTGTTCATTGGTTCTTGACGATGATGGCAACAGCAGATGTCATGGGTTGTTTACTCTATAAGATCTGGCAGGTCCAACCGTCAGATTGGGGTGGGGGGAAGAACCAAGCTCTCTCACTGGCAGTTTCGCAGCAGACCCAGGTGCCCAAAATCTGGGAAGCCTCCCCTTCTTGCAGATTGCCTTTTAGTGTTGGCTGGTTGGTTGATACATAAAGATACATAAAGGGGACCCCCCCCAAGTGTATCACATTGTACAACCAAGAGTATGGTAAATAGTACCAGGCATGGACTCCATGTTCTTTGCCCCAGTCAGGACCTCAGCAGGGTCTAGGTGGGCTGAGTGCATTCCGCGACCTCGCAGGTCGACGACGACGACGCCGGACGCCTTCAGCTTCAACGCCGTCCTGAAGGCTCAGCTCGCTGCTGGCGACCTGCCAGGCCCCGGGGGTGAGGCCTTGGGTGGTGGTTTCAGATACGTGTACCTCTAACCAGACAATCAGTTAGCCTGTTGTGAGACCTTGGGGGTGTCTGTTCTGGTTGTGAGACCTTGGATTTATGCCCAACCTTTACTTTATGGCGTAATTTTTTGTTGACCCACTGACTCACTCATTGGGCACAGTGGAAATCACCGGTCCCATGCGGGTGTTGTTTCTGTGGAAGACACGAAGAGCGAACACAATGACATGGAAGTGGTTACAACCTTATGTGAATACATGGGTTATATATCACATCATACTACATCTATAGTATACATAATGCACACGCACAATACACGCACATGATTTTCAATTGGTGAATTGAGATGAAGCCGACTCGACAGCTGCGCCAGCTGCAAACCCAGCAGACTCGTACACGTATTGCGGCTTGCTATATAGCTGCTGTATCCATCTCACTAGTTAGAACACGGAGCTTCTCCATGGCCATGGCACGGCCATGGGGAACAATTGAAAGAAGACAGGCAGGGGATGTTTCTGAGTATTGGGGACTGTTTGCCACCCCCGTGCCATGTGCAGAACCCACCAGTCCCGGCACACACACACAACACAACACACCCGCCTCACTTCCTGATCACCTGGCTTTGTTCCTGTGGGCGGCAGGTGCGGAGGAACACTTCCACAAGTTCTTCGCGGCTGCCGGCCGAACGGCCGGGGTGCCCTGCTGCAGGTGCAGGTGCTGGTGCCAAAAGTGGGGCGATGTCACTTCTCCAGGCAAGTGGTGATGGATAAGATGGTGATGGGTGAATAGATGAGCCTGGGTGGTGGTTTCATATGTTTGTATGTTCAACCTAGTGTTCAACCTTTACTTGGGATGATGGAACCACTGACTTATATGTTTCAATCGAGTTGAAATCACCAATCAGTCAGATGTGGGAGGTTGTGGGAGGGCTTTCCCATGGTCTCCCTTCAAATGCTGCAGTCAAGGCCGGCCTGGAGGCTTTTAAACAGGTTTTTCTTTGGGGACGAAATTCTCCTTTCCTACTTGACCACACATGGCGACAAAAACAGTCTCTGCGACTTTGGGGCACGACGGGGACGCTGGCACGACGAGGAGTGGTTTCAGAGGTTCGATGGCACTGGCACCCAATGATGCCTGTTCTACGGGGGGTCCTTCTAAACCGCCTTTCGGGGATTGTGCCATCTACTTTGAAACCGCTGTCTTGTTCGTGTCGTTTCATGATTGGCCGAAGCAGTGCACATCTACAGTATATGAGACTATTCAATTCAATCTTATTCCTTTGCACTGAGGTGCAGCCAGATCTCACAACTTTTGGAATGCTGATTCTGGCCCGCAAGGAGGTGTTCTGGTGGTAAACAATCACCTTGCACCTTGCACACATATTTGGCTGGCCGGCTTATCCTCCAAACGAGGTGAACATATCCTCACGGTCGCCGACTGTCGACACCTCTTTCTGATACCAATGGCATCGCGAGGCATTTGACGGTCAACACCCATTTTGTTGATCACCCAGCTTCCTCCAACCTTTCCAGTATCCAAAGTCGGCCTTTGAGATAGAGATCAGACTTGGCACAAGTCTGAACCACTGTCTGAACCAGTTTTATGTTTGAAGAAAAGGCGCGGAGTCCGGGAGGAGAAACAACAGCTTCACACTTATATACTAGCTCCCAAGCTTGTAGCTACTACACTTACAGGCTCAAAGCTTGCTGATCCAGTCGTTTTCGATCTCTATAGGTCCAGTCGGTCATCAGATCCTCATCCCGTTGGTCCAAACCGGGACTCTGTCTCTCTGAAACCTTTCATGGAAGTGGAAAACCCGTTTGTAGAGGAAAATGGTCTTCCAAGGGGTCATTGTTTCCACTTCTATCAGCTCCCCTCAGCAATGAGGTCCGTTTCCTTAGAGGATGAGATTTCATGACCCTTTCATCCCGAAACGCGGCCAAAATTTCGGCCAGTGACCTAGAGGGTCTTGCGAGGTGCTTCCTCTTACAGAGGATGCGCAAGTGTATGAAAGCACATGATAGCATGTTTCCAACACAAATGGGACAATATCATTGCACTTCATTGAACAATGTTTGGGAGTGTGAAGCTTTACTTCAACATCGGCAGCTCCCGATGAAAACTTAATTGGTGTTTTTTTTGTGGTAGGGTTTGTTTCACAAGCTATGCACTGAGGATGGTTAGTTAGTTGCATGTTTATGTGGCAACCCTGGCCCTGGGCAGCTCCCGGACCGAAAGTGCTATGATCATTTTATGAAATGGGGGGACTTATACTCAAGGAAGCGTTGTACTGGACAACCAGGCTTGCTTGAAACAAGGTTTTCCGCCCATGTGTCCATGTCGGAGAAAATTGTAGGCCTTGTCCTTTCACTTTGGATGGGAATGGGTGGATTCGGGCATCACTCAGGATCAACGCATATGCAGAGGTCAAGGATCACCGACAAGCGTTGTCGTGGCAGCTGTGGTGCAAGACAGAACTCCTTATGCAAAGGATATGCTATGCTCCACCAACTGTAGCCGAGCAACCTGGAAGGGGAACCAAAAGTTCAACCCAACTGTAGAGAGGACTCTTCTTGATGTATTCCTGCCCCACATGTCCCAACCGGTGCAACGTGCAACGTGCATGTTCTAAGCAGTGTTCAGAGAGTTGTCAGGCATGAACAATCATATTGTGACCAACGTCGGACGTGAGGCTGGATATTCATGTCCAAGGTACTTTTGGGCTAGACAGAAGATGCACAAGGAGCGAAAGCACTGCAAAGTAAAACCATGTAAAACCACCGATACGCCTAGTGTGATGACCCTGGGGTTGTTGTTGTCCACACGTGATCCTGAAGGCTCGCATGTACATCACCAGTCAGGACTCCTGGGCCGTTTCGGCCAGCTGCCATACTCACTCGGAGCAAGGAACATGTGGCGGAAACTGAGCATGCTCCGCCATACTCAAGGTGTCCTCTACCTGGACACAGTTCGAACCCCCAAAAAATGGTACCCCCAAATGAAACAAATCCCTTTCCAGAATGGCATCTTAAACCATCTCCATCTATGGCGCATGCGCTGCACTGAATGGTTTTGGACCATCCCCCAAAAGAAATCCCTTCCGCTTGACCATCGTCCATCGTGCGTCGCCTCCGTCTCGAGGTTGCGTGCGATGCCTCGGTGCCGCCTGAGCCCCACGGCCCGGCCGCCGAGCGTTTGGTGGTGGTGCCCGTGGTGGTTTGGTTGGAGAGTGGCAGGCCTATTGCTCATGAAAACGAATTGGCAAAAACGGCACTCCCAGGAGCTGCCGTTCTGTGTTTTTTTCGTTTTTCTTTTTTCCGCCCGGCTCGGCTCGATGAAGAGAAGACAGACCTGCCAAGAGAAAACCGGTCCAATGGGTGCCTTTTTGTGGGAGACCTGCTGGTTTTGGTGTTTGGATGTGTTTGCGTTTTGGGGCACCCAGCCAGCTGACCATGTAATACAAGATAATACAAGCAGCCGGTAGAAGACTTTGGAGTTGACATATTTCATCCTTTTTCCATCGTTTCTGGATGTTTCTTGTGGGCTGATCACATGTGTGTTGGAGAATTGGGTGAAAGCATGGCGAACGCTTAATTATAATGTGGATGGCATGGCCCCGAGAGGCACCACATTTTTCCTCTACAAAGAGGTGATGAACTCCACTTCCATGTGAATGACTCGGAGCGGAACGTCCTTCAATCGGTTGTTCAGGATGAGGGGACGACGCCTCGAAGATGGAGCCTGTTTTTTTGATGAGGGTGGAGTGGAAGAACCCAATGAACATGGTTGATTACATGCTCAAGACAGGTACTCTTGAAGTTGTTGGTTTCTTCAAACTGCTTTATGACCAAGTTAGGCACTGCATGGCCACGGCATTTCTCTCTTCACCGTTTTTGTACACATGAGCGAGGATGTCATCTACCTTTTCTTAGTTGTTACCGGGCATTGTTTGCCACTTATCTTTTGGGGGTGGCCACCCTTTCGAGACAACCTTCGAGATGCCCAGTTGCATAGGTGGTTCAATACACGCAAGTGCTGAAGAGCTTTACGGAGGAGGAGACGGAGCTTTTCATCGTGCCTTCTAAAGCTTGCTGGATATTCGTGTGTGTCCCTAAAGGCCCTGGTCAAAGGAGTCATGTCTTCTATGTACAGGCCAACATGGTTCGGCCATCATGAGAAGAGAAACACAAGGGTCAATACTAACTGTCATTTGGTTGGTTGGGGCGGGCTTTCTATTTCAAATGCATGCCCATAGCCCATAGATGTCGGATAGTTTAAATCAATTAGACAATTCATTTATATAGATGAAGTAGGATGACCATGTGTGCATATGATAGTTGCCATCCCAATGAAAGCTACATGTAGTCGATCCAGATCTTCCACCCTCCCCCCCCCGTGGGGGTGTTCCAACCAGTTGGATGAAGCACCCCAGTCCGGGGCGATGTGAGGAGAAGTCGACGGGTGAGCGGCTCTTTCGGGAGATGGTGGAAGATGCACAGCTGCCCACGCAAGTGACGCTGAAGGCTGCGGAATATCTTGCTGGTTTCTGTTGAAGGGGTGGTTGAGGCCTGAAATTCAGGGCCTATAGGGGAAGAATAATTTCCCGGTGAATTACTTTCTGTCCCTTTCAGCCATTTGGGACCGCTCGACGCAGCGCCTGCGCATGCCGCAGGTGCTGCGTCGCCTAGTGGGGCCCTTGCGAACCCGACGTGGGGGGCCCAGGGGAGCCTCTTCCGGTGAGACGCAAACACGGAGCCTGACGGACCTTAGAATGGAAGATGGAATGGGTTAAAGATGGTTAAAAGGACAATCGACAGGAAACAGAAGATCTTTTTTTGGAATCCATGATGAAAAACGGACACCGCCCCCCGAAACAATGAGTTTTTCTTTCGAGAACCACTGCTACATGGTTCTTGAGTGCCATCATATTGGTGGGTTCCACATCGGGTCGTGGACCGGTCGACGTGACGGGAGGCCAGGCGGCCGGTCCCGGCCGGTCCGCTGGATCACAGGACATGACACATCCAGGTCGTGTGAGAGGGGGAGATGAGATGGATGTTGATTTGAATTTGAGTGTGTGAAGATCCATCCGAATCTTGATGTGATCATGTTGGCCCAAAGTGGGAGGGCATTTGAACCGAGCTGGCGCGCCATGTAAAAGTTGCGGTTGGAGCTGCAGCTTTCGTTCGTTTCGTGTTGAGTTGGACTTCGAGGGCCAT